TTCTCTCTCGCTTTTTGTCTCTATATCGTTTGATTTTATCACTCTTATTTTTTTGTATGTAATAAAATATTTTCCAGCATGTATATTGTTTCCTGCGTTCACCCCTTCCTTCCCCCGTTCCTTCCTTGCTTCATCCCTTCCTTCCTTCATTCATTTTTACTTTCCTTCCTCCCTCCTTTCGTTCCCTCCCTTCATCCTTCGTTCGTTCCTACCTTCCTTCCGTCTTCCCTCCTTTCCTTACTTCTATCCCTTCCTTCCTTCCTGCCTTCCTTCCTTCCTTCCTTTCATCTCTTGTTCTTACTCCTTAATTTTATCTATATTACCGGTCCATTTTTTAATCAATCCTGTCTTCTGTTTTTATTTAACGTATATATTCGCGTATTATGCGACGTTTGAAGACCTTAGTTTCAAGCTAATTTTAAGCGGGTCGTATCGTAAATTAATATTTTCCAGCATGTATATTGTTTCCTGCTTTCATATCTTCCTTCCTTTCTTCCTTCCTTCCCTCTCTTCCTTCCTTGCTTCCAACCTTCCTTCCTCCCTCCTTTCCTTCCTTCCCTCCCTTTCCCGTTTCCTTCCTTACTTACTTCCTTCCTTCCACCCTCCCTCCTTTCCTTCCCTTCCTTCCCCCTTACGTCCTTCCATCCTTTCTTCCTTCCTCCTTTCCTTCCCTCCGTCTCTCCTTTTCTTCCTTCCCTCCGTCTCTCCTTTTCTTCCTTCCCTCCGTTCCCCCTTCCTTCCTTCCTTCCTTCCTTCCTTCCTTCCTTCCTTCCTTCCTTCCTTCCTTCCTTCCTTCCTTCCTTCCTTTGTTCTTACTCCTTTATTTTCTCTATATTACCAGTACATTTTTTAATCAATCCTGTCTTCTGTTTTTATTAAACGTATATATTCGCGTATTATGCGTCTTTTGAAGACCTTAGTTTCAAGCAAATTTTAAGGGGGTCGTATTATAGATATAAAATTAGCGTATGTATTGCTGGCCCATCCTACGCTGTTGACCAAACTATAAATCAATTTACAGCAGTCAAATGTAAAATAAACATAATATTGATAACACTCACGTTTTACTTAACTCTATCCAATAATAATGCATGCAATATTCACATATTAGTATCGTATTATAAAATACAAACATAGCGAATATGCATCTTTTCCATTGTTTACGTTGATAAAATGTTTAACTGTCTCTCGTTCTGTTGTTTTTTTTACTGTACGCGTTACGCAACGTTACTAACTATACTTTTATCATTGTCTTTTCGTTTTTAAACTTATTTAACAAGAAGATGGGATAAAGAGATAAAGGAAAAGAGGTCAGTTTATTGTAATTAGATTTCTCGTATCATACACGGGATACATGATAAAATCATTTTGTATAAATGAAAATTTGGAGGTCGAACTATACATGAGATCACGCGTTACATGAATCTATAAGGTATTTATTTGTTTATTACTCTTCCTTTCCCAAAAATTGACAAGATATTTTTCGCTCTAGAAATACCGTTGTCTTTCTTTCTCGATTTAATTCTTTCTTTCATTCTCTCTTTCTTTCTTTTATTTATTTATTCATTCATTCAAATCACTCTAACAACATCTTTACTTTAATAACTACAACATTTGCTCCTTTCTTTTCTTTCTTTATTTATTCATTTATTGAAGATTTTTTTCAAGTCTTTAAGTCAATCTTTACTTTGATAGATAACGCTAGATTTGCTTCTTTCTTTCTTTCTTTCTTTCTTTATTCATTCAGTTAGTACCATCTTCAACGCAAACTTTACCTTCATAGATACAATTATATTTTCTGCTTTCTTTCTTTCTTTCTTTCTTTCTTTCTTTTTTCTTTCTTTTAGTTATTCATTCATTCATTTAATACCCTCTCTATATCAAATTTTACCTTGATAGACAAAATTATATTTACTGCTTTTCTTTTCTTTCTTTCTTTCTTTCTTTCTTTCTTTCTTTCTTTCTTTTGATACCCCCTTTAACCCTGTCTTTTCCTTAATAGCTACAACAACATTTGCTTCTATCTTTTCTTTATTTATTCATTCATTTATTGAAGAGTCTTTCCAAGTCGTTAAGTCAATCTTTATCTTTGATAGATAGCGCTAGATTTCTTTTCTTTCTTTCTTTTCTTTCTTTTTTCTTTCTTTCTATAAATAACATTTCTTTTTTCTAATTTCTCTTTCTTTTCTTTCTTCCTTTTATCTTCCCTTTTCTTCATGTTTTTCTTTTCCTCTTTCCTTTTCTCCATAGTTAACGCTATTGTTATTTATTTAGTTTTCCTTCAATGTTATTCTTTCTTTCTCTCTAAAGATAAAACTTTCTTTTTTCTCTCTCTCTCTTTCTTTCTTTCTTTCTTTCTTTCTTTTGATACTCCCTCTAACCCTGTCTTTTCCTTAATAGCTACAACAACATTTGCTTCTATCTTTTCTTTATTTATTCATTCATTTATTGAAGAGTCTTTCCAAGTCGTTAAGTCAATCTTTATCTTGATAGATAGCGCTAGATTTCTTTCTTTCTTTCTTTCTTTCTTTCTTTCTTTCTTTCTTTCTTTCTATAAATAACATTTCTGTCTTTCTAATTTCTCTTTCTTTTCTTTCTTCCTTTTATCTTCCCTTTTCTTCATGTTTTTCTTTTCCTCTTTCCTTTTCTCCATAGTTAACGCTATTGTTATTTATTTAGTTTTCCTTCAATGTTATTCTTTTTTTTCTCTCTAATGATAAAACTTTCTTTTTTTCTCTCTCTTTCTTTTCTTTTTCTTTCTTTCTTTTGATACTCCCTCTAACCCTGTCTTTTCCTTAATAGCTAAAACAACATTTGCTTCTATCTTTTCTTTATTTATTCATTCATTTATTGAAGAGTCTTTCCAAGTCGTTAAGTCAATCTTTATCTTGATAGATAGCGCTAGATTTCTTTCTTTCTTTCTTTCTTTCTTTCTTTCTTTCTTTCTTTCTATAAATAACATTTCTGTCTTTCTAATTTCTCTTTCTTTTCTTTCTTCCTTTTATCTTCCCTTTTCTTCATGTTTTTCTTTTCCTCTTTCCTTTTCTCCATAGTTAACGCTATTGTTATTTATTTAGTTTTCCTTCAATGTTATTCTTTCTTTCTCTCTAAAGATAAAACTTTCTTTTTTCTCTCTCTCTCTCTTTCTTACTTTCTTTCGTTCTTTTCACATCTATTTTTATTTCTTCTTTTTTTCCTCTTCCATTTTTCATTGTTCTCTCACTTTCTCTCTCCTTTTCTCTTTATTCCCTTGCAATTTATTTGTTCCTGTTTTCCCGCCCATTTTCCGCCATTTTACACTGACATTTGATATCCTTTTACAGGCCATGATTTTAAAAACTCACCATTGAAGATGAAATTCCAAACAGTTCCAATCGAAAAAAAAAGCCTACCCTATTTCGAATTAATGCCTTAGAAATTGATTTCCATATCCCATAATTCCTTTCGTCTGCAACAAATCGAAACTCATCAAGATTTTAAAATTAAAAAAAAAAGAAAGGCTTGCACACATTCAGCCAATCAAATGAAAGTTAAGGAGAAAAAAATCGAAATCTTTCATTGTCTTTAGATTTTATAAAATGTCTTCTTGCTTATTTCTCTTCGTGTCTATGTTTAAGTGTAACCAACTCTTAATGTAAGTGTACACTACGTCTATATACTGTGTATATGTCTATACCGTGTGAGTTACCGTCTTTTTTTAAATGTGTATATTAAGTGTGTAGTAAAGATTTTGTATATGTGTATATTAGGCGTGTACTATTTCTTATCTGTATATATTACGTGTGTAGTAAAGATTCTGTATATGTGTATATTAGGCGTGTATTATTTCTTATCTGTATATATTACGTGTGTAGTAATGATTCTGTATATGTGTATATTAGGCGTGTATTATTTCTTATCTGTATATATTACGTGTGTAAAAAATGATTCTGTGGGGAGAAATATTAGGCGTGTATTATTTCTTATCTGTATATATTACGTGTGTAGTAAATATTTTGTATATGTGTATATTAGGCGTTTCCCATTTCTTATCTGTATATATTACGTGTGTAGTAAAGATTTTGTATATGTGTATATTAGGCGTGTACTATTTCTTATCTGTATATATTACGTGTGTAGTAAAGACTTTGTAAATGTGTATATTAGGCGTGTACTATTTTTTATCTCTGTATATTACGTGTGTAATAAAAATTTAAATATATGTAATATATTAGGCGTTTCCTATTTCTTATCTTATATATAAACGTGTATAGTAAAAATAATTTTATATATGTATATTAGCCGTGCACTATTTCTTATCTGTGTATATTACGTGTGTAGTAAAGACTTTGTAAATGTGTATATTAGGCGTGTACTATTTTTTATCTCTGTATATTACGTGTGTAATAAAGATTTTGTATATGTGTATATTAGGCGAGTACTATTTCTTATCTGTATATATTACGTGTGTAGTAAAGATTTTGTATATGTGTATATTAGGCGTTTCCTATTTCTTATCTGTATATATTACGTGTGTAGTAAAGACTTTGTAAATGTGTATATTAGGCGTGTACTATTTCTTATCTGTATATATTACGTGTGTAGTCGGGCCTTTTTATATCTGTATATTATGCGTGTACTCTTTTTTGCATCTGTATATGTGTATTCGGGCCTTTTTAGATATGTTTCTTATACGTAGATTCTTTTTAACTGTGTGCAATCCAGATATATTTATGTGTATATTATGTAATTATTCGTTATTGTGTCTGTCTATATTACGTATGTATTCAGTCATGTTTATATGTGTATATGATTCGTGTACTCATTTTTGCCTCTGTTCATATGACATGTGTATTCGAGTAATTGATCACATTAAGCTTGTTGTCACTTTTTCTGTTTGTTTGTATTACGTCTATAGACATTTTTTATGTTTATACGTTCTTTTTATAGATAAAAATATTTAAGCAAATGATCTGTTTATAATGAACAGTATTAACAACATTTACCGACCTGAATGTCCGAGAAATCTTCATAGAAAATATGCGTCCTACGACAGGAATTAAACCTGTATCCTATAGGGAACTCTCATATAGCCTGACGTGCCTTAACCGATTGGGCCAGAGAGGAGCGTTCGGTTAGCAAGATCGATTTTACTGTTTTTAAACACAATTCCCCATGATATTCTCTCATTAATTCATATCTGCTCAATGCGTATCAAAATGTAAATCAATGACGTCATATATTATGAAATGGACAATGTCCGATAATTATTTAAGACATTTGTCGGAGGACGCATATTTTCTATGACAATTTCTCGGACATTCAGGCCGGTAAATGCTGGTAATACTGTTTATTATAAACAGAGTATTTACTTAAATATTTGTATGTATAAAAACAACATATAAACATAAGAATGTCTTAAAAAATAATTGTCGGACTTTGTCCATTTCATAATGTATTACGTCTATAGTTAAGCCTTTTTTATATTATTATTATCATAAAGGGTGCGATGGGAAAATCGTCGCCAATTCATTTATTTAATTTTGCACATTTTGATTTTGTCGACTGCAGAGTATAGTAGCGTCTGTTGGACACTCTCTGTGAGAAAATGAGCACCATGATGCAATACACCCAGCCAGAAATTTCGATATGGCATTGTGTACAGCTTGACATTCCCTGCGGAGGCACCAATACGAAAATTTACAGAGTGTTTCGTTGTCAATCTGATGAATATAATGGTTATTACGAATATACGGCACCTCAGAAAACTCACTTTGGTCGTTCTGATAAGAAAATAACTCCCGGATTGTTAGTAAAGGCCTCAGACTCAACACGGAGGCCTACATCAAGTACCTTGAGGAGGTAATGCTGCCCTGGGTCAAGTAGTTGACTGCTGAAAGAACCTATGTTTAAAAAAATGTGTCTGCATCATGTCACACAAAGAGGAGAATGCAGGCATGACTGTCATACAATTTCTGCGACTCCATCATCTCTTACATCTGCCACCTAACACCCCAGTCTGCAACACCCCTTGAGTATTATGTGTGGGACACAGTTGAGTGAGCGAAAAACAAAACTACTTGTAACACCAAAGATGAACTGAAGACAAGGGTTATGCCAGCGTTCATCAACGCAAACAAGGAGATGGTCCAGAAGAATTGAAGCGTGACGTCCGCCTGTCTGCGTCAGTCGTGTTGTCCCGTCCTGTGACGACCAACTGGCTTGGTATTGGTCGCGGCACCCAAATGTGACGTTCTAACCTTTTGGTGATTCGGATGGGAATCTGGTTAGATCCGATATCAGCCTCGTTGTTCCCAACTCGCTTCCAACGTCTGGTTACCGAAGTAACTGCGTTGATCTCCAGTCCGCCTACCCACGTTGTGAATTGATCTTAGGCAGACGAAATCAATCAGTCGTTGGGGCCGTAATGCAAGTTGAGTTCAAATGAGGGTGGTATCGCACAAATATGCATAAAATAAAATAAAATAATAACTCAAAAGTTCAAGGTATCAAAAAAAAAAAAGGATAACAATATTTTATATCTGGTTGCTGGATACATAGGACTGCGTCTATCTCCCGACCCGCTATATGGATTGTGACACGTTGTTTTTTGTTAGGTGAGTGTCAACATCTTAAGTTGTCTGTTCTTTAAGAAATTGGTTCTTGGTGTGTCTTCAGGCGATAGTCGAAAAACTTATTTTGGTGGTATGGATCTAAGTCGCTCTTCAAAAATAAATTGTTCTTGGATTGAAGATGAGTTCGGAAGTTGCGCGAATCTTACAAGTCAGCTTTGCGAGGCCCACTTCAACTGCGAACTGAAACTGATCCGAAATCTCTGAAACTGAAAAACTCTGATTTTCGCTCGCTGCGACTTTGCTTATATGGACGCCGACCAAAACCGGGGTGGGCTTTGTTGGGGTTTGAGGTTCCTTGATAATTCCAAATCCACAATCCCTTCTTTTGTTTTCGGTCAGGAATTTTTATTATTTCCATTTTTTTTGGAAGTCTTCTCTTACCCCTACCTTCAGAGGGCGTCAACGATCCTCCCACTTCTTCGCAGTAACATCTTATACCTATCCTCTTTAAGGTGGTAGTAGCAGGCCTCCTCCCTGCATCACATGATCACCTCCGCCTGGCTCTCGTTAACATTCATCCAATGGTCGATCAACAGTGTGGGCGTGACCAGACTAGCCTTGTTTCAGGAAAAAAAAAAAATATCTTGCAAAAAAAAAAAAAATTATCTTTTTTTTTTTTTTTTTTTTTATTTCCTTTCCTTCTTTTCTTTTCATTTCTCTTCTTCTCTGGCCGCCAACAGAACAATGCGACCAGTAGTGTGATAACCTCAATTCTCATCTGGACTTCGTCAGTCAGATTTTCGCCAATTATCAGAATGGGTGGTCGTCCAGCAAATACGGCCAAATTTTTCCGATAATATTGTTTCGCTCTTATCGCCAGATTCTAACAAAACCCAGACCTTGTCTAACGATATCTTTCCCTCGACAAAGACTTAACCTATTTTCCTTTTTTTTTTTAGCTTTCAGCGTCACGACTCATTAGCTCGTGGGTCTCTGTAGTGTTCCGG